CATTCTCATATCGACATATATCATTATAGTATTTGCTACATAAATCCTAAAACCCTACCCCTAATTTCAACCTCTCTAAACCTTCTCATCACAAACACCATGCCAAATAAATTCATCTATTAGTTAAAAATCCCGTCGCAGTAATCAACAAATAGAAATTTAGAGCATTATTGGAAAGGGGGGAAAAATAAATTACCTGTTTATTAGTCTGGGAATAATCAACCATATACTCATAGGCATCGGCCTGCGCATTAACCCTAGTTTCAGTGCCCTCAACGGGTAGGGCAAAAGCGTCCATCACAATAATCGCATCTCCGTCGGTCTTTCCCTGCATGAGCCCCATGACCTCAATCGTTCCGCCGGAGCGTGCGTGCACGACCATCTTGAGAAGCGCGAGTGCAGATATCTTCACGCGCTTGAAGAAGTGTGGGTCAATCGACCACGGTTTCTCTTGCTGGAACTTGACCTGCGCCGCCTCATCGTAGTAGAAGATGGCGTCCGACGCGGCGGAGGACGAGTCCGCGGCGTCGGCGGCGGTCGTGACTATGTTGTTCTCCAATTCCCAAGTCTGCCGTGCAATCGTTGATGAGGAGAAGAGATCCATTGTTGAGGTAGAGAGAGAGAATTTTGTAATTGGGAGACTGCTCAAAGTGTTTTGGTGTTTCTTCTGCTTTTGCTATGTTTTACATTCAAGGCTTATTTATAGTCTTAAATTTTCGAATTAATTGTTTTTCTTTTCAAATTAAAAAATAAATAAAAGTTTGAGATAATTCATAATTCACTACAGCCTAAAACCTATGTAATTATATTTTCCTAAATTCGGACAAGAGCTGATTTCTCGAGTTCATTCCTACTTAACATCAATTTCAATTTGACAGGTGATCAAACAATCATAAACGAAATCGAAACAAGAATTCCTATTTAACATCAATTTGACAGATGATCAAACAATCATAAACGAAATCGAAACAAGGCACATGGGGGTGTCCATGTCTAGGTGTTTCTTATATAATTTGGAATATCTTTTTTGATTTCTTTTCTTTCTTTCGATTATTTTAATTTTTGTTTTGAATGGAAATCTAAATTATACATTATTATTATTATTGTAAATCATGATTTTCAATCAAAAGTGGAATTTAATAGAACTGATTGAAAAATACAGGCCTCTGCAAAAACAAACGGCTCATAAATTAACTAAAATGATCTAAGGTCTAAATAACACAGTATACCTAGAACATAATCCTAACCAAAAATAAAATAAAAAATAGAAAAAGGTTTGTTCTGATAGTGTACAACAAAGAATTGACTGGTTCAGCCATATGGCATCCTTCCATTTACCTCTTTGATTGTTTGTACCCGATTTTCGCACTCCTAGGTGGCGATTCTTCACATTGCTCGACTAAACTATTCGGAGAATCACTTGCCACGTCATCAACTTCAGTTACGCTAGGCACTTCCATGAAAGCTTCACTTAGAAGCACGCAATTACCTTCAACGTTGATTATATTCGTCGACTCACTGTACAAGAGAGCCAGTGTCATTATTCTTAAGTCAATTTACAACGCTACAGTTGAGAAGGAAATATCGTTTGTCAATTCACCTGGCTTTAGATGATGATAAACCATTTTCATACGGCATTGCTCCGAATTCAGCCACCTCGGTTACTGGAGGTCCAATTGACTTATCAGTTGAATGTGGATCTGCGAAAATCGAGATTGAGATTGACTGAAACTTTACTGAATATTGAGAAAAGAAAAGGACTGTTTAGTTGAAACTACTATTAAGCTGCATTTGTCCACGAGTACAGTTTCCGAAAGATCGGAGTATATATCGCCTTCATAATTGTAGTTTCAATCTGACAACATGGGAATAAGAAATAAGCACAGATGATTTCTTTAAAACACGTTGTGCATGGATCTCGTTAGGTAGTCATTACATACGAATTAGTTCCAATGATGCGCTTACTTAAAACATAAATCTGTGCTTATTTAAAATGCGAGAAAAATTATCGATTGCGTTGGTTTTCTTCAACGAGTTCCATGACGGCATCAATCAGATGATATTTCTTATGAACGATCCTCACTTGGGAATATCCACAGATGCAATTTAATTGTACACTTGCCCGATAACATTGAGAACCAGTTTCAAAACTCCATATCAAGAGCTCAATCAAGTAATAAAAGAGAACATTCAAACATAATATTATAACACCTTCCTCACTACCCAAGTAACATTGAGATTCAGTTTCGAAACTCCAAGTCAAGAGTTGAATCAGACAATTAAAAAAATAAGTAAATTATTAGGTAAAAGGGAAAGTCCAATTACCAGAATGCCGTTTCCAAGCATAATTGGGGGTGTCAGAGTATGGAAACTTAGATGTAGCGCATTCTCCATCAATCTTGATAGCATTTGACTCCTTTAAAACAATGAAATTGAAATGCAATCTAAGACACTAGAAACTGCATTGGGAAATTTCACATGTGTGTGGATGCCATTCGCACAAACCAACTTTTAAGGTTACAACGAACTTTGCTAATTAATTACCTCGTTAATTCCAGAAACAGAAGCAGCTGCTTTGAAAGACAGTGCTTCTCTGGCCTGACCATCTCCTCTAGACTCCAAAGCTGAAAAGGGCCAAAAAATGCAAAGCAGTGTTTTTCAACTATTAACAACAAAGCAAAATCAGATTAGTCGAGTTCAAAATTCAGACAAGACACAGACTAACCTACAGGGGCAAGACCAGAGATAAGTCCAACATCCATTAATTGGTCTACTGGCTTTGTTTTCCAGAAATTTTCTGGTAAAGCTGTTATCTCTGCTTTACCAGTTCCTATAGACTCCTCCCTAGTTAGTCCAACTGCAAACAGTGATGGATCGATTTTGGCGGGTGGTGTGCGCAGCATATCTTCGGTTGCCTTTGAGCGCACTCTCCTCAACTCGTCTTGGATATTCCATGATCCAGATGGAGGAGAATTTCGTCTCTGAATAACAGCAATAGATGATGATGAATAAGAAAGATAAATAGAAAAGAATCAGGGAACTGAGGTGAATGGAGGGACCCAATAAAGGAAGAAACTCGCAACTTCTCAACATTAGTAAACATATTATCTATACAAGTTTTAATCATATGCATTACGTTTACAATGTGCCATGAGAATTGGCAATCATTGTAACAATATGACAGGAACTAAGTATCCTTTAGTTGGGCTACACTCACATCAATTGAACCCTTCAGTTCGACATAAAATTTTCTATCTCTTGTTAATTTCTTGAACTGATGAAAACATTGACATGCATGTACACAAGCAGAAGAGATATTGACACAAATTACCCGTTACAGTTTACGAGAGATTCGACTTTCCTGGTGCATGAATGGAAGCGTAAATTTAACAAAAAAAGATTGAGAAATGCACCATTGATGAAGACAAATAGTCGCGGTTAACTGAATCTGGTGTTCCTTCCTTGAAAAGCTTCATCCTCAATGTCAATGGGGATCTAAATTCAACATGTTTCGTCGGAGATACCCAAGGCACCTTCTCTTTCATATAGGATCTGGCCACTTCCACAGGAGATCCAACTCCACTTTCTACCTGCTTTATCAAAAATCAATAACATCAAATGACACAGTTTTCAGAATCATATTTCTTTGTAAAGTTCGGAAACATTTCAAATAAAAAATTACGAAGCCATTGCCTCGTTGGTATTGGGGTGGGGAGGGTAGAGTTAGGTCTAGGGTTCAATTCCCTTTAGGTTCACTTGTAGGCCATTTATAAGGCCTTTTTTTAAATCCAAAATCAAGCGAGGGAAAAAAGACATATATATATATATATATATATATATATATATATATATATATATATATATATATATATATATATATATATATATATATATATATATATATATATATATGTCTGTGTGTGTGTGTGAGTATTTATATCCAAGTTAAAATCAATGAAAGGTAGATCTATGACAGGTATAAATTTGAAGCTAAACAGGTAACGAAAATCTCTATGACCTATCACATAAAATTATGACTAACATGTTCAGATGTAGTCGAATTACGGTTGCAGCTTCCATGAGCCAGCTCAGTGAGTGAACTTGAACCCGCTTTCTTCTGTTGAAACCAATTTTTCGCTTCCACGACAGCTTTATTAGATGCATTGACATCTTCTGTTCATGAAAATGATGATTCTATAAATGCTTACAAGATTCATCTGTAAGATAGTCACTAGATTTGGTAAAGCAGGCAATACCGTGGTCAAGTAATCCTCCAGGAAAATTTGCAAGAGATGTTCTCTCTCCAGCTTCTGTCGAACAGTTCATTACTCGTGAATTAAGAACTTTCATCAGCCTATCCCTCTCTTCCCTGATAATAAAACCAATAAATAAGATAGCAAATTTGCTGGATAACAATTTCATGAATTGTAGATATTTTGCCGCCGAGTGCACTAAAGATGCTGGGTTAATAAGAGTTGCAGGGTTCAACTGAACTGTTGGAAAATGCAGAGGTTATTCATCAAGCCTTAGTAGTATATCTCTCTCAAAAATAAATAATCAGAACTAACACCATCCGTGGAGAGAAACAGAATTTACACACACTTAAGAATAAGAACTCAAAGGTTTAACAAATGACCTATTTATCTTGAAACATCAAAACAAGTAGTTTTTGCAGAAGTATATTCACACTAAAAACTAAAAAGCAGATGATTTTTGAAGTTTCGGAAGTTCAAATACAAGTTTATAAAGAATAATAATCATAAAGTTGTCAAGCAGAATACCTCAAGGTTTTGGCAGTTACCTCGAAAAAGTCTCCTGCATAACAAGCTGCTCTATTAACCTCTTGGTTTCAGTCCTTTGCACACTAAATTGAGACTCTTGCCCATGATGCATCACTTCTGCTGAAGTTAATTTCTTCTAACAAAAAGATAAAGCAATATAATTGATTATTTTGATTATTAGCTTAAAAGACATAGAAACAGGAAATTACTATATAGCATCAAATGAAGTAGCCAGTCTCCCGCATTTGCTATACTAAGTATTTAAAGAACATTAAGGAGAATAGCACAAGCAATATGAATAACCAGCACATTCATAAGCATTTCGTAACAAATATAGATCAACATGTCTCCAAGATATCATCAATGTGCAAAGGAAATAGCAAGTTATTTATTTTACCAGACCCATTAAGAACTTGAAACCATTTCGATTAATTCCTTTTTTACACCAAATTTCAACAACTAGTAAAATAGATCTTCATTCTTGCTATTACGACTTCATTTCAAGCTCAAAGAGCGAAAGAACTCTGCACCCAGTCATACTCAAATGTTTAAAAACTGATGTGAAATTCCAGACATAGCAAAGTTAAGAGGTTATCCTACCCCCTGGGAATATATCTTCTGCCAGAGATCTTTTATTTTTCAAAATCTAACATACGGAATCTTACATTCCTACTTACTGATGAAAATAAATAGTACAGCCCTACAAAGATAAGATAAAAGTTCAAAGGTAGGGGATTCTTTAGTGCTAAATTAATATCCTCAAGTTTCAATCTTCATATGCAAGAAGAAGCAGCGAGTTACCTCAGTTAATGCATTAAATCCATCTGAAGGGCTTTCATACTCATTAATATTGTCAACATCGTCATCTGCCAAACAAGAATGTGACAAGAAACATACATAAAAGGTCAGAAAGAAAGAAACAAATGTTCAGGCATTAAAGTTTTGTTTTCCCTTGGGCATTTGTCTAACCATAGAACATACTTCACCAGACATAATTCCAGGAACAAGGGAAAAAAAGAGGGTGAAAAAATTTTGGAGAGAAAAAGAGAGTAACTATTCGATTTTCTCTTCCCATAACTTGCAACTTTCCACTTCCATCTATTCCCCCACTCACCCATCCCTGCGTTCTCTATCGTTATTTAGCATATTAGCATCTAAAGAAACGAAAAATAAATATATACAAAAAACGAAACAAAACACAGAAGTACTTCTTTGTTAGGTTTTGCATTGAGGATGTTCAGCTGCAAAAATAAACAAACACTCACTTTTAATAACCATTAATGAAGCCACAGATTTTCAAGTGCTCGGTTTTTCTCTAGAACGTATATATGCACTAGGCTGAAAACAAGCCAACCTTCTTAAAACTCAAAATTGATTGTCAAAAGCTCATTTATATTTTATACTGAAGTTCATATACATATCAATCAAGCTCCAACACTTATTTTTATTTTCTTTGTAATTTTTTAAGGCTCTGAGCTAAAAAACTAGTTAGATGCAACTAAAGCTCATCTAAACTAGATTTATACAATAATCGAAAAAAGCTCCGGATTTGGCTTTAATTCATTATAAAATTCTTTCGCTAAGGCAATCTTCCACCAAAACCCCCAACCCACCCACCCACCTCCACCCAATATAACTTGGTTACATCGACTTCATCAATTTCAGCCAGAGAACAAAGGAAAATAAACACGAAAATATGACTACATGCTTCTGAGAGTAAAATTCAAGCAGATAGTAACAAATACAGCACATCAGGGACATGCAATTAAGCTCACATACACGAGCACTAGATGAAAACAACACTAAAATAAAATTAAAAAAAAAATTAAAAAAAGTCGGAGAAAGAACAACATACGAACCTGAATCAGAGTCCTCTTCATCAGAGGAAGACTCGGAAGCAGAGAATATCGCGGAAGAGAGAATTTTTCCGGCACCAGAAGCGAGGGCTCGAGCGGAGGGTATAACGACGCCGGTAAACCAATTAGGGCTTTTAGGAAGGGGAGACGGCGGGGGAGGACGGTCGTACGGGGTGGCGGAGAGACGCTGTCTCCTCCGATTGGTGACAATTTTTCCGCCGGCGCGGGAACGAGAGCCGGGGACGGTGGCCATTTCGGGGGCAAATTGGAAAATTTGAAACGGAATGATTTGATTTCGTTAGTTTCAGCTGTTTTAACTTTTGGTTTCTCTCTCTCTCTCTTGAATTTCCTTTTTACCAATTTTATTAATTATAAAAATAAGAGCAACTCCAATTAGAGCATCAAATGGATTATCAAATCCATTAATTACCTCTCCGTAAATAAAAATACATCCTGGAAATTGAGTTATCAAAACAATAACCACCTAAACATGCAATCACAAAATGAAACGTGGCAATTACGAATAAAACCACTAAAAAACTTCCAATTGATTATTAATTTTGATAACCATGATTGGAGTAGATGAATTATAAATGAATATTAAAATATTATCTTAATTATCAAATAAATATTTGATATTTCAATTTTGATGTTTTGCATTGGAGTTGCTCTAATAAAATACTTAATATACGCACTTAATGAAAAAAAATACTATATTTACTATATTTGTGTAATGCAAATAAATTAAAAAAAAAAAAAACAAAAGGGACATGTTTTATTCCTCATAAATCTTGAAACATGATAAAAATTGTTCTTGTCCATATAACAAGATTTAGGGTAAATTACAGCCAAAATTCTGAGATAAGGTTAAATTACGGAAAAAAAAAAATATTTTATCTGGGTAATTACAACAACTCATCAACTATGAATCTTCTTATATGTCCAATCTTCCAATGTCAAATTTAGTGAAATCTTCTAGATTATGTGAAATATTCTCCAGTTTGTACTTGTTTTACCAAATTCGACCTCCACGTTTTGAAACAAGATAATCATAAGATGTGTCTTTTGACTTGTAAATATCATATTGTGGTGCATCAGAAACTACATTTTTGCACAAAAATAGTACAAACTAGATAACATTTCTTAGAATCTAGAAGCATCTGTTGAATTTGAATTTTGACATCTTAAAATAGAGACGTATAAGAAAATTCATAGTTGAGAGGTGATTGTAATTACCCAAACATAAGGACTTCTCTCATAATTTTACATTACATCGAGAGTGGCCATAATTTACCCTAAGTTTTATTATGTTTAGTTGCTCTTCCTCCATTCTCATAGCAAGTCTCTATTTATTTAGTTTCTCACAAGTCACAAGTCTTGCTCCATGACTTATTCTTCTTAAAAAATGAACCAATTCAAATGATTATTTCATTAATTAAACAAATAAGATTCAGTTATTTAGATTAACAATTTAAGAGATAACCACTTTATGAAAGTAACAAAATTGTAACATATTTTTCAAAGACTTAAAACATGTTTGGTCTAATTGGTTCAAGATTTGACCCTTTTACCCCCCATTGCTTCGTTCGAGTTGGAGCATCTTATTCCAGTCTTTTTAGTTGGGCCACACAAACATCAGAATCAAGAGCCCAGTGGGCCTTCCCTTATAAATATGCCATTTGTTTTATGCTACACTCGATAAATTTTATCGGATTATAATTTTTATATATGTACATTTATGAGTATTTATACATTCTATATATAGTTATTTGATTGTGTGTATCAAATATGAAAAATTGTTGGTGTATTTTATCGGATGTAGACTTTAGGTTGACTACTTAAAGGAGTTTATTAAAGATTTTTTTTTTTTTTAATAGGAAATCATTCAAGCATATTTTTATCAAAAAAAAAAAAAACAAAAAAAAGTTGTTACAAGGCTTTTATTTTCATTTAAAAAAAAATAAAAAGTGCCTTTATAAGAAGATTATATCACCATTATATCACCATTAAATGTTGTCATACTAACTAATAATCTTATTTTGATTCTTCTCTATACAATTTAATAAATGGTAAAATTGGTAAAGATAAATTAATTATGCATTGACTACTTTGGAAATCTTATCATACAATTTGTTATAGGATGTGCGATGGATGTCGTTTCAGTACTAATAATATCATTTTGACTTAAAACATGATTTTGATAATGTTCAAGTCTAAGTTTGGCAAAACTCAAAACACAAAATTGGTAATTCCTTAAATTAGCTTTTGAATGCAACTTGAATCACTAAGATTGGACGTCGGGTAATAAAGATATGCATGAATCAATGAACATTGCCCACAAATTTGATGTTTTGAGGTATCTGAAATTCAAAATGTAATTTATTCATGCATAAGTTTATCACCAGACATTCAGTCTAGTTGATTCAACTTGGATTAGAAAGCCAATTCAAAAGAACTACAATTTCGTGTTTCGAATTTTGTCAAAACTAGACTAAAAAATAGTCAAAATCACATTCAAAGTCAAAACAATAATGTAATAAAATTAAAACGACATTTAGCATTTCAGGTTATGAAAAGATAAAATAAATTATTTTGTTCAATAAGACTAATTGAAATAGTAAGTAACCAAATTTTCATAAATTCATGAATCGAATCATGCAGATTTGTAAATAATTTTTTGACCAGGAGATCTTGTGATTTTGTTGATTACTTAATATATTTATTTTCTCAACAATAAATAAAATATTGCTAGAATTATCAAAATATTGATATTATTATTTACTTATTACCAAAAGACAATAAAGTACGAAATTCGGATTGTTCAAATATAAAAAAAAAAAAAAAAAAAAATCGAAATCTACAAAATCCGGAAATTCCATTCTGATTTCCACCCCTAAAATAATTTATTTATGAAAAAAAATATGAGAAAAGTCAATAAAAACTAATTCATTTACCACCACCCCCATTGGCATCTTTGGCCTTGCATGATTTTCGCTCTATCATACAAAAACTAATCATTTGTTTCTTCCTTTCGTTTCAATTCTTTTTTTCATATACTCTCTTCATTTCATCAATCCCTTTTACCATCTTCTTCTTCTTCTTCTTCATTCAAATGGTAAGGAAAACGAGAAACAATACGCTTTTCGTCGTTTTCTTTTTTACGTATATCCGTCTAAGGTGCACATCCATTTATGTATTCATATAATTTTATTTTATTTTTGTTCGTATAATTTTTCTCCTATCGGACCTGCGTTGCGGCTTTTTAGGTTATTTCGTAATAAATTTCGCGATAAATTCTAACGTTCTTTGATATGAACATGTTAATGTGAACGCTAGTCATTTGTTCGATTGCTTGATTGACGTTGTGAAACTTCAAATTTATTCGAAATTTTCTTTTATTTTCTTCTGTCGAATTTATGTTTGATATGTGTAGATTGTGGAAAAGAAAGAAAGTTTCCATTCGTACAATTTGGATCATGTGTAAATCCCATATTTTTTTCCGTTCATCTTTCTTTAACATTGTCAAATATAGTTACTAGTTCCTCGATTCTCTAGCAGGCGACATGCAAATTCGAAATTTTTTTAAAAAAAAAAAATCCGATTAAATTATGTGGTCGAAGCTAATTTATGCAGATGTCTATTTTTGCCAGGTTGTCTGCCTAAATCTGCCAACTTTCTGTTGAAGACAACTATTTGAAAACCAGAAGAAGGAAGAACCAAATTTTGTGTCTTGACAGGTATGATTCACCTAAACCTCCATTTATTTTAAAAAAAAATACCCTCTTTAAAAAGAATATTTATTTATTCCTCAGAAAATGGCAACAATAAGAAGAAATGCTGCTCCAGAAAAAGAAAAAAAGATTGGGGTATTATTGTCTGCTTCACAGACAGGAACCAAAAGAACAAGCCATGATTCAATTACTGCAACACCAAAACGAATCCCGATTTATCCGAAACCCGCAGCAAATTCGAACAACAATGTCTCTAAGCCAATGGTCAAAAAACCAGCCCCCACTCAGAGTACTACTACTACAACTGCCCCTAAATCGACACTCGCAGCAAGAAGATCAACCTTAGACAAAACTCCAATAACACAGACACCAAAAACGCGAATAATCTCAACTAATAATCCGTCTATTCGGTCTTCTTCTTCCTCGATTTCTGCGAAAACCAGTGTTCCGCAGAAACCGGTTCCCGGCAAGAACTCGAATGGAGTGACTAAGGATGTGGTGAAACCTATAGTGAAGAGGAGCATCACCACCGTACAGAAGCAAGACATCACTAAAAAACGTACTACTACCAACAACGACGAAAAAGTAGTGACTAAGGATGTAGTGAAACGTACCCTCGGTAAGAGCATCACCGCCACTAAGAAGCAAGAGATCACTAAACAGAGTCCTACGACTACTACTACTCAGAAAATCACGAGGTCGAATATATCTAAAGGCCCGGAACCCGAAATTCATCCCGAACATCAAGAATCTTCCGTTGATGCAGATGAAGAACAGAAGGTTCTTCAATCTGCGAGCAACGGCGAGAAGGGTAATACAGTCAATTACGAGGCGGACGATCAAGAACCGTTGAATTTTGAGGGAACTGAAGATGGGGGCGATGATCAAGATACCAAGGCTGTGACTGATGAGGATTTTACATTTTTGGAAAACCAGGACGACCCTCTCGTTATCGAGACACAAGAACCAGAGGAGCACAAGTCATATGTTGAAGAGATCAAAAGCATGCAAAACGAATCAGAAGAACATAGTACGGATACTATGAATACTATGAATGAAATAAACAGCAGTAATAATGGTGAAAGTGTTGCAGATAATAAACCCAATGAAGAGGCAGAAGAAAAGGAGGTCGTTGAGGTGAAAGAAGAAATAGAAAAACACGAAGAAGAAGAAGAAAAAAAAATAGCAGAGGAAAAGAAAGAAGAATTGGCTACTGAAGAGTTCAAAGAACAAAAGCAGCAAGTAGCAGTCGAGGAAAAAAAGCAAGAACCGGCACATACGGTTACAAAACAACAACAATTTTCAGGACAAGGGAAGAAGGATTCACCAGTTTCTAACAATGTGATCGAGGAGACCGCGAGCAAGCTTCGTCAGCAGAGGCAAAACAAGGTCAAAGCTCTCGCAGGGGCATTCGAGACAGTCATATCTTGCAGTAAACTAAAGTGATCTAACAGTTCATATAATATGCTTAGGTTTCTTGAATGAAAAAAAAAAAAAACAGACTTCAATTCAGACAGGAGTTGGTAGATTTATTCATCACAGTATAACTTGTTGTTTTCATGGTTGGTTATTACAAGGAGATGGTAATCCTATATGTATTTTTTTTCCTAAGATTTTTTTTCCCCATTTATCGCCTTTTAGTTATATGTACAAGAACATCACTAGATTATAATTTCGAGTTTTTATAGAGGATGATTGATTTTTTTTTATGGCTTAGCAGCAGTGTCTTCTCAAGTTATCCTCATTCGTTGTGCATTTGGATTTGAGGAAGGATTTCAAATTACTCGATATAGAGTGAATTTCAAACCCGCCACAATAACTCAAAAAAGAGTTCAAATTGAGCTAAAGGATTTGAAATCCTTAGCTCAAATCATCCAATCCGAATGCAACCTAAAGGTTTCAGTAGACCACCATCTCCATCTTCTTGAAGTTTCAAGAAACTACGAAGTACGAACTATAAGTTGAGTTGTCTGAAAAGGATGATGGCTGACAAAAGTTGGAATAACGTAGAGCATGGTTTAAAAGATTTATATATATATATATATATATATGCACATGGAACCAATATAAATGTGATACTTACCGAAATCTTTAGCCGAATTCAAATCTTAAATATTTGTATTGCTTTCGGACAGGCAAAATTGTTCATCGGTCCCCACCTCTGATGAAGTTTCGGTAAGCTTATACATTTCTTCAAAGGTAAAAACTCCGACAGCCTTTAAACTTGAGGAAGAAGATGTTCCATTAAAGTCGCCATATTTGACAATTACTACCATTTTGTACCTCTTCTCTAACATAAGATCAATGACAGAGCCAACTGATGTTGAGCTTGTAACAAAAGGTGGTGGACTTCTCATAAGTGTTCCGATTGGGGCATCTAGCTGCAGAAGAAAAGGAATTGAGATAATATTAAAACGGCACCGTGTTTTATTTATGACAGTCACTAAGTATTTTTTCTGGTTTAGTTTAGCCTTCAGCGGAACTATTCAAAATCGAGAACAAATTCAATATATTGTTTCAGCACTCCTGGAGAAGCTAATTATAATTCGTTTATGAGGTAACAGAAATTAAATTTGAAAGTTCGATTTACTCCAAAACCAAATATGATATTACTCCACTTTTAAAACTAAGAGTGAAATCAAAATTCATTTTGTTCCATTGAAGAAAGGGTTTGACTATTGAACAGTCACTTAAAACTTTAAATATATTACCATATTACAGTCTTCTCGGTGAAGTATCCCCACACAGCATCCCTGCTCGTCTATGATTGGCACAGCAGAATCCTTAAACAAACGCATAACCACTTGCTTCAACTGCAAAGTAGCTTGAAGTGGCGAAGCTTTATCAAATGGTAGCATTATCTGCTCAATTGTATCTTTAAGTGACACCTAATTCAATACACGGATAATGGACTTAATTAGTGTTTAAGTTATTTTTTGACATCACAGTATATCATCAACCACAATACAGCAAATCTTATATACCTGAGGAAGTACACGAGGACTTAACATCGATGTCTTAAAACCGGTTATTGCCTCAAGTCGTAATGCGACCTGCAATGTGATGCATTGTATTTTATATAAACAAAGCAGGCAGTAGAACAAACCATCAGATCTCCAAGCACTATGCCGGTATTAGAAAGATAAAAGTCACGGTACAGCAAAAGTTAACGATTAATTTGTTTTCTTTAAGTTGTTAATGAAGGCTGCCACTTTAGAAATTCTGAAACAGCAGAACGCCATTAACAAACTCCCAAAGCTTCACTTGTGCAAAATATTTTGGGAAAAAATGACACAGACTTCTTACATGGAGCCCATACATCATCCAAGAAAATTATTAGTTACATCTAGTGCACTTGGTTAAAAGTTCATATGACAGAACATACCATGCCGCCTCGACTAGTCCATGATATTTCTCTCCATTTGCGCATAACCTTCTTAAGTTTTTTTAAAGCCAACTCAACCTGCAGGAAAATCCAGAACTAAGTGCATCATGTAATTGATAAGAAGATTAACATCAGCAAGTGGTTAATTTAAGGTTACAATCTAGTAACAAAAGAAGAGGCAACGCTTCATGTAAAAGAGAGAAATATTAGCCATTTATAAAATCAAAGTTGATATTATCAAGAAGCATGAAAGATACACATGTCCAATGTTGTTGTTCCAGATAGCTATTAACGGTCAATTTCGTCGCCTCTTGGCAAAAATTCAGGGAAGTACTCTTTATAGCATTCAATTTCTTGACATTTATACTGCTTCCAATAGTGCTTTAATATAATCTTTTGGGTGTGGAACATCCTTTTTGTCATCAAATTATCACTATCAAGGATTGAAAAAACAAGACATGCAATACAGGATAGAGACACGAGGCAGTGCATTATCTACTATTCAACCCTATAACTTGACATTACTAGTACCAAATCCATGCTTATCGTGAGAGGTTATGGGTTTGATCCCACGTGTGTGCATCAGTGCATGATTGTGTTATAAGGCCATTTATTAGACAACCTTTTATTTTCCAAGTCAATTTACCTGGCCTTGATTTAAAGCTGCCTCCATTAACAGATGATCAGATTCTGCCTGCATTGGAGAGGTAATTGTTCCTGCTGAGTCAAACCACATGCGTTTACGGAATCTACTGACCATGTCATAATCTCCCCTATCAGCAAATGCACGCATCATCGACAGAAAGAGGTGAGGCTTTGGCCTCAATACAGGGTTCACCTTAGCTTTTTTTATTAACTCTCCAAAAACACAGAGAGCGCCTGCAGAAATGACTGCGTAAATTAACTGTTTTGCAATGAAAAGTCGAAATATAACGCAAAGAAAAAAATAAATCAAATAGCTTTAACAAGGTTCAAATTCCCAGAGGTGAAAAGTCAACCTTGGCCAAATTAATCTATTTCTTTTACAGATCTTAATTCTTAACACCATTATTGCTTTATCATCAGATCAACTATGTCTCTCTATGTGGAACTTGAAAACATATAAAAGGTTGATTTCTCCAAAAAATAAAAGTGAACAAAACTAAGCAGACAGAATGATATCATAAAAAGGAAAGGACATTTTGAGCCTATCCGAAGTTGAGATTTCACATACAATTTTTTTTAATTATTATGGATCCATCTGATGATTACTTGCAGATCTTTAACGGAATCCAGAAATGGCATACCTTTGGTTGATCCACAGTTTAGCAGTGCATCAATAATTGCAGTGTATGCAACACGATCAATTCGCATTTTGCTGCATGATTTCATTTCTGTCAAGATCTTTTCAACTGAAAAGATATCCTTGGCACGCCCAAACCCCTACAAAATTGGTACCTTTATGTTACAATTGGTCATACCAGTGCTTAATCAAGCAAAACGCCATTCTTGTACAACAAATGCTACAACTTAATAATACTAAAGGATGCAGAAAATTTATCATAATGGGCAAACTACAGTTTGTTACTACATATTGTTATTCAAACAAGAAGAAACTTGACATATTAGCATGCTTTGTTGCCTACACAGTTGCCTTAACCACGAGGAGGGGGGTTTAGTCAAAGTACTGGAAATTCCCATTAGTGAGCCAAAGAAGCAATTTTGCTATTATCTCCATATTGCAGAGATTTTCGGCTCATAAACACCAAAAGGAGGTACAAATACTCATATTATAACAAGTCCAACATAATACTGGAATAATAGCATATAGGACGGACCTGTAGTAATGTAGTGTAAGTAACAAGATCAGGGGAAACATCACATTGGTCATTTTTCTGTGCTTTCTCCTGCAACAGACAATGGTAATCATTCAGAAACCTGACAGCCTTTAAATAAAATCAACAATTCATGAGGCTTTAAACTAGCCTTTCAGACACGTGCATGAGACCTTCATTTGCTCAAAAAATTGCATTGCCATGTCTAAGTTTTCGTTCTTGATACATGCGAAAATTAGTGTATTGTAGCTGAGCCTATCAGGATTCAGCCCATGTCTCAGTATGTCATCATGTACGCCTAATGCTGCTTGAGGACTACCGGAAGTTATATATCCCTGAAAGAAGAAAATACATGTCAATAAAAAAATTAAAAAAGAAAAAAGAAACTATCTTTCCATCAATCATCCCAATAACATACCAAAGTGGGGAAAATTTACCTTCATCAACAAGTTGAAAATCAAAATTGATGGATTTCCACCTTCTTGAATCGCATTACCATATCTTGCAAGAAGTCCATTAGCACGGAGGAGATCCCCTGCACTAGATAGTCACATACATAGAAGCAGTGTCAGCAAGCAGACATTTGAAATTTGAGACGACGCAATGAATCCTCGTATTGTAAATGTAAGAAGAAACTAGACGAAAATATAGTATTCTCTCTACGGGTCAAGAAAAGGAAACAAGGGAAAATTGCAGATTACAAGCTATTGGGTCAACGTAACCTAACCTGATTCAGTTAAAGCATTCAGAAGACCGCTGATCAGCACTGCAGACAATTGTGGATTACCAACTGCCGTACCTTGTTCGACAGACTCAAGCAGTTGAAAAGCTTCGTTGATTCTCCGAGCATCACCCAAGCCCTTCACGAGAGAAAAAATAGCAGTTAATCATGAACAGGACATGTATATTCTATCACATATCAACGAAAATGCATTTTCCACCAGAAAAGGAAATCATAAAACATATGCCTGCATATGCAATAAAAATGTCAATCTCTCCGTATTTAAAGAAGGGTTTGCAATTCATTAACTATCTGAATAAGACATCCAATTGCATGGTTCATAGTTGGTTTTAGTTGTAACTGATATTGCAAGCTATGGATACTGATGTGATGATAACATAGTTTCCTACAAAAGATGCATTCGGTTCAAATTGATAACGGAAAATTTGTGCCTAAACAAAAACACTATCACCTCCTCACGAACCCTTAGTGACTACTGATTTATTGATCTCACAACATTGTTTTTCACAAAATATGAAATTTCAGGACAACCTTATTGTCTCCAATTATTTCTTTTCATAAATAATTTGATGCCATTTTAGCATCTCTTACAAGTTACACCCTCTTTGCTTATACAATGTATAATTCCTGAGACTGGACACACTCAACCAGAAGAAAGAAAATACATTCTACAGTGGAAGTTTGAGTACCTTCAAAAGTGTTGCATAGGTAACATCATCAACCCCACAGCCATCTGGCTTTGACATTTCATCGAACACTCTAAGAGCTGATTCAATATCATGGCAATGAACACAAGCATGCATAACAGCATTCATCACGATAACATTGAGATTCCCATTTTGCTTCTTCGCAACCTCTATTTCCTCAAATATCTAAAAAGCAAAGAAACGTTATTCGAGTAGATGTATAATTCCAGTATCTACAGTTGCATGATGTAGGAAACATAATTGCACACTTCAGAAAGCATTAATATCTCTTCTAAAGAATTTCCAGTACCAAAGCAAGTCATCAAGCATTTCAGAAACAAACATAATACTAAAACAAGAGTCTAAGAATACGTCAAATAACCGATTGGGACCATAGTTCTTCAAATATTATTTAGATATAACCCCCAAATTTGATTTCACTCACACTACCGAACACAAATAGCAATACATCTCTTTGCAACTTATCAGCATAAATTTCTTGCTTGAATTGAATCATTTCCATTTACAGACATCTAACTGAAACCTAAATCTCCTTAACATGATGGCGAATGAATAAATAATTTGCTCGAACACGGAAACGAACAAGCAACGAAACGAGGCAACTGACCTGAGCAAGTTGTCGGCGGCGAGTGAGCTTCACGACGCGGGAGGTGAGGGACTTGAGATTGAGTGGATCGGAGGACGGTGTCTGAGGGCGGGTGTCCGGCCACTTGCGCCGCTTGTTTGGAAGGTGTTTGCGTAAATGCCTAGGAGGAGTTGCGGTGCTGCAAAGGAGTGTCGGATGAATTGACGACGGTGCCGGTGATAAGAGAATAGCAGGCGCGGCGGCGTGAATCATCAGATTCTGCAGCACCATCAGCATGTCTGTATGGTTGATCGGTACTCAGGAAGCAGCCATTGCTCTCATGCACAAAGCACTGTGCGCGCAGCAGCAAAATTATGAGTGGGGGGTTTGGTGAAGAGAAAAAAAAGGCTGCTTTTTTGGGGTATCGGAGAGGATAACGTGTGACGTGTCACGTGATTTTCACTAATTATAGATATTCTTAAGTATCATAATTTGTCACTAATTCGTAAAATAAATCGGGGTTTATAATATGCTACACCTACTGAAATACGAGTAAATCTTTATAATTTGTAACCACAAAAACATACAAACTGACGCAAACTCATATTAGTATGTGTAGATCAATCGTAAAATAATTTCATTAAATAGTGGATAGTAGAAATCATAATAATCATTTATGCCATGTTATGGTGGTGTTTACAAAAGTTTAATCAAGATTCAAGAGTAGAAGTTAGATACGCCGCTATTAAGTTTATTTCTGAAAGTCGTTTATTAATATTCTGAAAAATGAACTTAAATAGAAAAAAAACAGGTCTAGGAGTGTTTTTAGATGGTTTTTGCAAAAGTTTTTACAAATAGATTATAAGTTTTTTTTTTTTTTGTACATAATCTCTTTTTAGATGTTTGTAAAATAAATTTTTGATTTTGCTTCTCATAAAATAAATTGTTTTAAGCTATAACTTAAAAGCATCAACATATGGTGGTGTTTGCAAAAACTTTTAGAAAACAACTTTTGAACTTTTTTTAGCTTATGAGCTATTTTTAGGTGTTTGCAAATCAACTTTTGCTTTTACTTCTCTAGAAATAAGCTAATTTAAGTTATTTTGAAAAAAAAAGGTAGTTTAATACCAACTTAACTTAAAATCACTAACTACTACTTTTGAATAAGTTTTTGCAATCACAACCCATGTGCTTTTTCTATTTAAGTTGATTTTCCAGCTAATTTACAAACACCCTAACTTTTAGAAATAAACACTTAATACCAACTTAATCCACAATCACTAACGTCTGACTTTAAATAAGCTTTTGCCAACGCCACCATAAAAAAATAGCTTAAACAACTTATGTAAAGAGAAACAAAAGCAAAAGCAAAAGTTAATATGAAATTCTTATTCTTCAAAATACCCTTCACATTGATCCTTCACCTCTTAATTCTTACAGCTACAACCCTTCTACATTACCCACTAAACAATTTCTTACACCTATTAATTTCTTACAACAAAGGAAAAATACACCAATTTGTACTCTTACCACTCAACCTAGCAATATAATTGTGATTGAAGATGAAAGTAAAATAAAATGAATAATAATAATAAGATCAAACCCATAAAAAGAAAGTACCCTCTACAAATCCCCAAATCGAGAATCGGCCAATCACGGCTCGACACTTGGCAGCATATCATTTCACGGTCGGAGAATTCGGATACTGCTCCACAACCCCGTTACCGAACTTCCCACTCATCTGCCTCCCTTTAAAACTCCCCTGTTTCGAATTCTTCGGACAAAACAACGCCTCCAACGTTTTCTCCAACGACAGAGCGCTGTACTTCGCGTACTTACTCGCGCTACCGTCCTGCTCGACCAACGGCCCGTAATTCTGCATGTAGCTCCGATAAACGGGCACGATCGTCTGGACGACGACCTGGCAAACCCTCTCCCTCAAATCCTTATCCGAAACGACCCAACTCGACTGCTTCTTGTACATGTCATCAAACGCCTCGTTGAACGCCTTCAGCCGCTGCTTCACGAGATTACGGGCCGTGCCCCGCCCGCCCGAGAACAAGATCAAACCCTCCCTGCTCAAATGTTCCGGAAGCTTCCCCCAGCTCTCGCGCAAGTACATTGCCGAGTAGTACTCCTTGTACTGCTCGTGCTCGTTCAGCCAAGAATCCCCGAGAATCGCGCCAAGCTTCGTGCCCTTGAGGTGTTTGTACAAATGCCAGTGGTTGTTCATCAAGAACATGTACGAAGAGACGGCGTCCTCATACCCCTTTGACCACGTCTCCAAATTGATCTCGATCGCTTTGACCAAATTCAGAAGCTCACCGATCAAGATTCTGTCTTGGTACTTTTCTTTCTTCCAGCTCCGCTCGATTACGAGTACTTGCGTCAGAATCGGCTTGTATTCGTCGCCTAAGAGTTTATTACAATAGTCTGTAATGAAAGACACAACCCTAGGAATACCGCAATCGCCAGGTGGCGGCGTGTGTCTTTGAAGCTCGACTTGCACTAGAAGCTCCCAGAAAATCTCGCACGAGCCCTCGATTACTCTCTTGATTAAATCCCTCGTCATATTTTGAATCTCCTCGCAGGCGGCACCACCAAAAAGCCGATTGAAATCCAATCTCAGTTTATTTAAAGAAGCAAATATATCAAGAAGCTTCAATAGCTTAACGGGATCTTTCTTACTTTCAGTTACGGTTTTCCCGAATTGCAAAAACGCAATAATTCCCGCTTGAGCAGCTATTTTGGCGAAGCAGCTTTTCCAAACATCCAATCCCATTTTTTCAAACACGTCGTTGCATAATTTATATTCGGCTTCGAAAAGGTGCTTCATCGCAAACTCCAAATGCTGGCCCCACTTATCTATATAAACCTCTATGCTCGCCACACTATTGAATTCCGAAACCGAAATTTCGAGATAATCCAAATTGAGCGCCCGCAAACTCGCGCGCACGTTCTCGCTCCTCACCTCCACGTAAATCGATATACACTTTTCGAATCTCTCGTTCGCGGCCAATCTCCCCAAAATCGCCTGCATCTTTTGAATAACCGCCACGGGGAGAGGCGAGGGGGCAATGCATGGATTCTCGTCGGGCGAAATCGGAGACGACATAGGCAACGGGAAACTGTTTTCCGACAACAATCTCCGGAACTCGTTTTCCAATCTATCCAAGGAAGCTTCTAGAAGCCCTCCATCAAGACAGCCCTTCTCCTCGTTCGATTCGAGCTCGTGGAGATTCTTTAACGACTTCTTCAAACCCGAAATGAAACGGGAATCCGCTACGTTGTGATCCTCCAAATACTCGACTATATCAGCCAGCCACTGGATAGCCATGCCGCAATTGTCTCCCAAGAATCTCGTCGCTTCTTCGAGGCGTTTGAGCACACTCAGATAACCTACGAGATCCGATTGTGGATCGGACAGCGATTTCTCGAGACCGTGGACCGCATCGAACACCTTCAGGACAGCCGCCGCGGGGACCACCGCCCGGTTTATGTGGCCTCCAACGGAAGTCAGGGCGTCGGATTCGGCTCGGATTGGCCGGATTGCCACTTCGAGCGACGGCAATCGTTGGTTGATTTCGTCTAATCTCGGACCGGTTTTTTCCAAAGACAGTGCCAAAGATTTTGATTTTTCGACACTGGCTTTCAGCAACTTTCTAGCTGATAACAAATTCTCAATCCCTTTATCCATTAGGGCAGAAAAAGTACTTCGAACAAAGCGGCTTATATCAAAATTCAAATGAAAACAAAATAAATAGACCAAATGGAAGCTGTAATTAATCTGGGTTAATCTTGTAAATATCAACTTCCATTCCCTTTTTTCACTTCACCAAACCCTCACCAAATCTTGACTGCAGAAACATACTCAACAAACGAAAATTCCCAGCAAAAAGCTCAACAACCAACTAAAAAGCGCTTTTTATATCAACAACTTATTCTACAATAGAACCAAATTAATAAAAGAAATCGATTCGGAATAACAGATCAGTGAAAAAAGAAAAACCCTAAAAAAAAAAAAGAAAAATAGCGATACACGATTGATCCCCCGGAATGCGGTGATCTAGAGAGCGGGTGTTTTAGAGAGAGAAAGTGAAGTGAGAGAAGAACCCTAAATCGGAACCTGGAAAGTAGTGGCTTTTTTTTTTGAAGGGGAGACTGTTAGCTTAAGTCTCTCTATGAATCTTGTGCCGAAGTGCTGTACAGTAAATTAAATAAAAAAAAAAGATTTTTTTTTTTCCTTTTTTCTTTTCACTTTTGTTGTCTTCTTCGATTCACCGCTGCACTCTTGTTTTTCTTCAAGTACTCAATTCCTTTTATTGAGAAAAAAAGGAAGAATCTTTGAGAATGGGAATCAATGTGGTGGTAATAATTAAGGATGTAATTACTGTCTGGCCATGGGTAAATTACAATCACCCCCTGAGGTAGGGTTTATTAACGAAAATACCCCTTATTTCTTCATAATTACATCGATACATTGTAATTTGTGGATTTCTTACACTCACAGTCACACTTTTGTAGAGGGTGGATGTAAGAAATTTACAAAATGTAGGGGGTTGAATGTAATTTATGAAATATAAGGGTTTTTTTTCGTAATTAAGTTTTACCTCAGGGAGATGATTGTAATTTACCCATAATAACTAGCGTGTCGGTGGTAAAGTGTATAGACTGTATGGATTAGTAAGCATCTATTGGGCTATTATTTAATGGGTTTTAAAAAGGCTTTTTAAAGATGAAGTGGTTTGGTTGATTTTGTCTTTTGGGCTTATGTCATGGGCCTAGTTCTTTACGCCGTAAGTGGGGTGGAAATTCGAACGAAATTCTTATTTTTCACTAAATTTATTTTATAAGTTTTTTTATTTCGGAACAATACTTTTCACTTCGAAAATTCCGATTTGATTTTTTTTTCGATTTATTTGTACGCCTATTGCGGCGAGTCCCCGCGCAAATTCCCCGCCAAGCTCCTATGACGAGTCCAATTACGTGCTCCTGTGCAAATATGAGTTCATCTACTAAGGTTCCTCCTCCCTATACGACAACATGAGCACCGTCGCTTTTCTTCCTCTCCTCATACGTGTTTTCGAGAAAGGCGTCAGTGGTGTAAATCTGGAAGGAGAGCGACGACAATGGTGGTGTACAAATATGAAAAAAGAAGATAAAGAGAGAGACAACGAGATATAGAGGGAGATATGCATAGAGTGAAAAAAATCAAAAATATGAATCAAGAAATATAAATTCATTATTGAGATGAGTAAAGTTAATTGTATCTAGTTCAAAATATTTTCCTAATTAGATAGTATTGCACTTTTTCCCTATTATTAGTGGAAGCCAAGGACGATGTAATGATGAAAACCCGCTCTAGGCTGGCATAACTCGACGACCAGTTAGAAATGCCCTTTCCTCGTTCAGTACTGCTATTAAGATTTATGAACTCGAAGTAAGGATTCGTAAAAATATACGATTGATCCATATTTTTCTCAAACGTACTATAAGAGAGCTCTCGTTCAAATGTTACTAGTTGATTAAAATTAACAGTACCCTCTCGAAACCCAAACTATAAATTAAAAGACAAATTTATCAATAAAATCATATCTTAATTTGTTAAGTAACTTTTTTATTTACAAATTACATATAATATAATAATTTAATATAAGATATAATTGACAATCCAAACAAATACTTAATATATTAATAATTAATCCAATATCATCTAATTCGAATTATTTGAATTGACGAAGCTTTAAATCTAAGGGGTAGAAAAGAGAGAAAATATAAAGGGTAGAAATGTAAATTAACATAGACATGCCAAACTCCACAGCGTTTAAATAATTGGGCCTCTATTTTCAGGGATCTTACTAACCATCGCTCATCAGCCGCTAGGGTTTTTCAAGCGTTCAGCTAGGGTTTCAGGTTGCTCCCCTTTTCCTCTAATTTTTCATCTGATGAACGCTGAATTAGCATTTTATTTTGTATCTAATTGTATGTTTGTCATCGTATTCACTCACAGAATCATTGTAGTTGTTTAATCGATCTTCTGTTCGTTTTTTCTAGGGTTTGAAATTTAATTCTCTGTTTTTTTGGGGGATGTTGTTGATTTCGTTAGAATTAAACGCCTGATTTGTATTTGTTTCAGGCATTTGTCGAGGAGCTCCGATTCAAGATGTCTAGGGTTTATGTTGGAAATCTAGATCCGCGAGTTACTGAACGAGAGCTTGAGGACGAATTTCGCGCGTTTGGAGTTATCAGAAGGTATGTCCGAGTAGCATAATACGAGGTTCTGTTGGTAGTTATCAAAACTGTTTAGAAGATCTGGTGATTTGTGATGAATTGGGTTTCGTACTTCTCGGGTTGTTTTTATTGTGTAAATCTTTGGCAGAACCAAAGTTGAATTTTGTTGGTAGAATTTGCTATCTTCATCTATTTTACATATTTAACCTTCCATATTCTTTTTTGTTTGTATGATATTTGCAGTGTGTGGGTTGCTAGAAGACCCCCTGGTTATGCTTTCATTGATTTTGATGACCGAAGGGATGCCCAAGATGCCATCAGAGACATTGATGGTGAGTAAACATGTCGATATTATCCAATTGCTTATGCAGTTCAAAAAGTTTTGGTCTTTCTTCAAGATCCAATGTAGATATTTATCTAGTTGCTGTTGGATCTAGTCATTTTAATTCTTAAGTTGTAGCATCATTTTTAAGTCACATGCGGGCTGACTCTACTAAAGCCTCTGTTTTTACAAGCAGCAGTTTGGTGTCATTTTATTATGGATGTCGTCTGAAGTTTTATGTCCTCATTATTCTGTTACAGGTAAAAATGGCTGGAGAGTTGAGCTTTCACACAACTCTAGAGGTGGAAGTGGTGGTGGTGGCGGTGGCCGCGGTGGTGGTGGTGGTGGTCGTGGCGGACGTTCAGGTTCGGATCTGAAATGCTATGAGTGTGGTGAGGCTGGCCATTTTGCTCGTGAGTGCAGGAACAGGGGTGGCTCTGGTAGGCGTAGGAGTCGTAGCCCTCCTAGATCATATCGCAGGAGCCCAAGTTATGGCCGAAGGTAGGATCGGAAATTAAAAAAAGAAAAGAAAAACGAAAGAAAATCGTAACACTGAGAAAAGACAATGAATAATGGGAACTACAGATTGAGTTATGGGGAAAATAGTAATATAATTACATAGTTGACTATTTCATTTGATATTTAGCCTGTTGTTATCAACTTATATTCTACTTGATGCCGTTTAATATGATGGTCAGGAGTTACAGTCCTCGTGGTGGTCGTTCTCCTCCTCCTCGACGCCGCAGCTTGTCCCCAAAGGGTCGCAGGTACAGCAAGTCAACTTTCCGTGGAAGAGATGAAGTGCCATATGCCAATGGGTGAGTCCTTTTTTTTCTTCCTCCCCTTCAATCATACTGCTTTCTCACATGCTTGTTGGGTTTTGAACTTGTCGATGAGAGTCTTCCCTTATTCGTTTATATTTATAAAAATACTTAATTAGAAATACAGCTGTTTTCTTGCTTATAACTACGGGGAAATGCTTTCTTTACACCCTCGAGTACATGTTGGGTAGCTGTATGATTTTTATTAGTCTCAAACAATCTTATACAAGAATTCACTGCTAAAAATTGCTTTAGGGTTGCAATTCACAGATTTCTCAGCAATCATTAAGATGTTGGTTCTTGTGGTAGGAAAATGTGAACTCTATTACATCTCTGTACGCAACTCCAGTTATTTTTAGTATTCTACTTATATTTGTGTTGCATTTGTATATATAATGCAGAAATGGAATCAGGGATAGAGTCGATAGACGCAGGAGCAGGAGCTGAGCTGCGCTTGGATCAAATTAGTTGTACTCTTGAATCTATGCAGAACCTTTTCAAATTATGTTTACTCTGCTTGACTTAATTACGACTGTGTATGGGGGCCCTACGCCCTCGGCTCCAACTCGTGGATTTGGTTGAGTGTCATTACTATTTCAGTAGTAAGTTTATCATTTTATCCTTCTGAATTTGCTTATGAACCATTCTGCTAAAAAATATGTATATGGGTTGATGATATCTTCTATTAGACAAGTTATTAAGAAGAGTGCTAAAAGTTTATGATTTTGTTTTGTGTCGAGGTACTACTCTACTTGCGTGTGGTACTACTCTACTCTACTTGCCTGTGGTACTACTACTCTACTGCATCATTGGTTTTGTGCATCTTCACTTGTGGTTTTCGACCTTGACTGCCCTGCTGTGGGATCTTCAATTTGATTGATTGTGGATCCCAGCTGGCTACTCTTCTTCTAGATGCTTCTTTTCGTCTCATGTCTGCGACACGGCTCTCTCCTCAAATATTAGTATTTGATTAAATTTAAGGATGATGATCGGCTTCTTCACGCTTCTGGCAGGTACTCATGGAAGTGATCATTTAACTTTGTTCATTGATCTATGACGTACGGATTTTTTTTTCTCCTTTGTTCTTTCTATAAAATACCAAAATGGAGTTTTCTAATTTTTACAAAAGTTAGGAATGAAATGCTGGCTTCGAGAAGTTCATATCTTTTACCGAGTGGTCGTATAATGCACAATATCTTATCAGTTTAGTCACATGAGTTACTGACCCAAGGATAAAAGTTGTATCAGTTTAGGCACATGATAACAAAGAATTCTGCAATAAAATTACAATCTTTTCAACAAATTAAGTTTCAGTCAAATCAGATGAAACCCGATCTTGAACTTCAATCGGGTTTCTTCTCCTTTGGTTGAAATTTGTTTTGTTAAAAAGATGGTAACTTTTCTTCGACTTTTTTTTTTTGTATTATCATGTGTCTAAGCTGAGATGACATGTCTTCTCGGTGTCGATACATTTAACCATTTCCCCATATCAGTAAACAGAAAGGAAATTCATTTGCTTCATCTTGTCATTGACTTCAAGCTTCTGCTTTCATCGAAGATGCCTACAATGGGAACTTCGTCGAATGATGTTTTGTTGGATTCTTTTTCATCTTTCACCTTTGATTTAGTTGAAGTTTTAGAGAAGTTCTTCACTGCCATTTTATTTGACGTTTAGAAGATTTTTTTTTATTCCAAATAGTTGTCATTTTGTAATAACAGTGAAAGCATCTTTTGTATTTTTCTAAATTTTATCCCTATTGGTAGCAGATAAATAGTGAAACAATTCACTAGAGGGGTTTTTTAGTCATTTTATTATGATCTTCCTAAATACGAACGTATATTATAATATGATAAATAATATCATTGGATATTGGACTTTCCATAAATAATACTAATATGATTCCACTATGTGGTGGAAAAATTGGATTTCTATAATGAAAATTATTGTTTCAAAATTAAAAAAATTGGATCGAAATTTACAAAATTCGATTACGTTAAACATTTATAATCTTCTAAACTTAAAATTAGTCCCTTTATGCCAATTGTAAATAATGAATTGTTTCACAACGAGGTCAAACTTCAAATTGCCTTTTTTTTTTTTATACTATAAAAATTGGTCTGATATAATGGCAACAAAAAATGCTGACCTCGCCACTACTCGTGCTTTATTATTTGTTCCATAAAATATAAAAAATAATCGTGTTTTTATAGTAAAAAAATGACTCAGTAACCCATTTCCTTTTTCTTTTTCACTTTTATAAATTTTCTAGCATTAAAAAATCAAACTAAAGAATTAGTAAAAAATAACATCCAAAAGTTGGTTTATGGGTTTTTGTTAGTGGGACCTAGAAATATGTGATACTGATGTTCTTAGACACAAAACGGTTGTTAGTTGAACATGAGGGAAAGAGATTCCTCTAGTACCAAAATTATAGTCTTTGATAAAATTTTAAATAATTTATATTGACACTAGTACAATCCAATGTCATCACTAAATTCCATTTTCAAATTATGTCAACCTAGACTTAGATAAAGTTAACATACAAACAATTTAACAAATTTAAAATTCATTTATATGATTTTTTGTCCCCTAGTTCAAATTTAATGAGGCAATTGCACCAAATAAAACAAAATTGGGATTCAAAATACGATTAACCTCAGGTCCGATGAGATTACTCTCTTTTTAGTTCCTTCATTCCATTTCAAATTTTTCCTGTCTTTCTGATTAGTTTCACGTATAGATTTTGGGCTCCTTGTTTTGCCCGTTTTGATAGCATTAAAGCCTTCTCTGACTAGACATTTGCTATATTTTTCGGGATAATAGTCTTTTGAAGGTTTGCCATCAATCTGTTGACTCCTTTTATATCCCGTCCAGGTCACTTTTGGGATGTTGACACTTTGTATGACTCTTTTTGTGTCTCTCGATTTTATGATAGTGTGGGAACCGCCTAAGTCCCCGCAACATAGACGATTTTTGGCTTTAAAAAAAACTAGGAGGGCTCGTGTAATTTAAAAGGCTAGTTTAATTTTTAAAATTTATCCTTAATGCAAAATTATATTATTTCAATTAAATCAATGAATTTTAGGCATAATATGGACTACCATGCAAAAGGTTGGGATTCAAACATATTTATTGTTTCAATAATTTTTTTTTTACTCGTGACGATTTTTTTTTATTCAGGGCGTCCTCTGCACGCGCGGTTCATATGAACTTTTAACTAATAAAAAATATAAGAGTCCAAATCTCTTTCCTAAATCAAATCTTGCCATCCAAATGGACTCCGATAATATTTTTGTGAAAAAAAACGAGCAATAGACTTTTATCGAAAAAAAAAAAAAATCCACTCTTTTAGTTGCTAGTTTTATTACATTTCCAATGACTTTTACCTAATAAGACAACAAAACAAACAAACAAACAAACAATAAAATTAGTATGATGGCCTTCACGTTCACTATGTGCCCACATCTTAAATAAGTTTATGTTTGCTGCTTAAATATAAAGAATTAAATCAGCCAACTTATTTTGCACACATTTTACAGCTAATTTATTTATCGAATGAAATTTGAGTGACAAGTCAACCACCAAACATACATACAGACAATTAGAGCTTTCCACATCTTCCCTAATAAAGACATTTTCAAGATTTGGGGTTTGACAAATTCTTGAATTTCTCTTTTTTTTTGTCCAACCATCTTCTTCTCTCAAATCATGATTTTTTTGCACAGATTCTCAGTTCATCTCTTCTGCATTTGAAAATCTGATTTCCAAGCACCATGGATTTCATCAAACAGAAGCAAGTCAGGTACTCTCTCTCTCTCTCTCTCTCTCTCTCTCTCTCTCTCTCTCTCTCTCTGTGTGTGTGTGTGTGTGTGTGTGTGTGTGTGTGTGTGTTTAATTTGATTAATGGGCTGAAAGAAATGTGCATCTTGACACAGATTTCACAGTGAAGAGAAACGAAATGTAGAACTTTACTTAGAGAAAAATGAGGCTCCTCTCCCAATGTACAAAAACCCAATCCCTTTCCAGAAATCCGAAGGTGGAGGAGAAGTCAACAGAGACAAGAACCAACATCCTAGGTTTGGCAGGTCAAAGGTTTTTCCAGAAGGTCAACGCCCCGAGAAGAGTAGAATACTTGACCCCGGGAGCGATCTTGTCCTGAAATGGAACAGGATTTTCTTGTTCTCTTGTCTGATGGCTCTCTTTGTCGATCCATTGTTCTTCTACCTGCCGTCGGTGCTGAATCAAGAACGCTCGTCGTGTATGCGGACGAACTTGGATTTGGGGATCATCGTCACATGTTTCCGGACGGTGGCCGATGTGTTTTACTTATTGCACGTGGTTATGAAGTTTAGGACCGCTTATGTGTCTCCTAGATCACGGGTGTTTGGGAAAGGCGAGCTTGTTATGGATCAACGCGAGATTGCGGTGAGGTACTTGAAGACCGAGTTCTTGATCGATTTTATTGCAGCACTGCCTCTTCCGCAGGTATATATAAATATATACACGTATATCGAGTAAAAGATCGGTTATGAGTTGAAAAATGAAACGAATGTCGAAATTTAGGCGGGCCCTTTTGAAAAGAATCTTGAAAAAGTATCGAGAATTCGAGATATCGAGTAAAAGATCGGTTATGAGTTGAAAAATGAAACGAATGCCGAAATTTAGGCGGGCCCTTTTGAAAAAGAATCTTGAAAAAGTATTGAGAATTCGAGTATTCTTCTCGTGGATTTTTCGTCCCTTCAAATCGTTGTCGTTTTGTGATGATTCTGCTATTCAGAACAAATCAAATGTGCTCGTATTCAAATTGTTTTACGGTGTTTGAATCGACTTATCATATGAACTATTTGTTAAAAAATGAAACGAGTGTCGAAATTTAGGCATGCCCTTTCGAAAAAGAATCTTGAAAAACTACGGAGAATCTTTTTGTGTGATGATTCAAATTCTTGTAGAGAATCATTGCTGGTGTATTGAATCGACTTATCGTATAAATATTCTTTTTTTCTTTTTTTTCGACAGATTGTTATATGGTTCATATTACCAGCAATTAGAAGCTCCCATGCAGATCATACGAACAACGCGCTCGTACTTATCGTATTTCTACAATATATACCAAGACTATATCTCATTTTCCCGTTGAGTTCTCAAATCATAAAAGCCGCCGGAGTCGTAACTCAAACCGCTTGGGCCGGTGCTGCTTACAATCTCCTACTATACATGTTAGCAAGCCACGTATGTATACGTTTCATTATTTATTTCTTACCCAATTCCTTAAATCGAAATTTATTTTATCTTGATCAGCATTAGCTCTATTTTTTTTTTATTTTTTTTTAATAATTTGATAGGTTTTAGGGGCTTCTTGGTACTTAGTTTCGATAGAGAGGCACGCAACTTGTTGGAAATCGGCTTGTGGCGACGAGTTCAATCGTACTAAATGCTCGCTTAGTTATCTTGATTGTGGTACTTTGACGCATAGTGATAGAGCAGAGTGGGTGAACAAAACACTCGTTTTCACAAACTGTAACCCCGATAACGGTACCTATTTTAATTATGGAATATTCGGAATCGCTGTTGCAAACCACGTTGTTTCGTCTGGTTTTCTCGAGAAGTATTTTTATTGTTTATGGTGGGGTTTGCAGAACTTAAGGTATATATGATTTGTTCACATTTTTTTATTTTCTTTTAGGATATGATTTTTATTTAAAGGTAAATCAATTTTCTTGATTATTTAATGCAATATTCATGTTTCGTATCACAGTTCATATGGCCAGGGTTTGACGACGAGCACGTTTATCGGTGAAACTTTGTTTGCTATACTTATTGCAATGTTGGGGCTCGTTCTTTTTGCTCATTTGATTGGAAATATGCAGGTATTTTTTTTATTAATTTAAAAAAAAAATTATTTACGGGTGAATCGAAAATCGATCATTTTATCATATTTATTGAATCTTTTTTTAAATATAGACGTATCTGCAATCTATGACGGTGAGGCTGGAGGAGTGGAGAGTGAAGCGAAGAGACACGGAGGAGTGGATGAGGCACCGGCAGCTTCCGGAAGGTATTCAACGACGGATTAGACGTTTTACGCAGTATAAATGGTTTACGACACGAGGAGTTGACGAAGAAACTATCCTCCGTGGTTTGCCCACCGATTTACGACGTGACATTCAACGACACCTTTGTTTGGATCTCGTTCGTCGTGTAAGACACTCTCTCTCTCTCTCTCTCTCTCTCTCTCTCTCGTAAGATAGTCCATAGTTCAATAACTTAAAAAAAAAAAAAAAAAAAAAAAAAAAAAAACTATGTAATTGGACTTTGTTTGACTTCTGGTAATTTTCCGGGTCGATCGAGAAATATTCTCTATCTTGAAATCATCATGTCAAATGTTCAAAGTATTGGAGCAACTAACTTTTATGGAAATAATCATTCTGTAATATAATTTTTATAGGTCCCGTTTTTCTCGAAAATGGACGACCAACTCCTCGACGCAATATGCGAGCGCCTAGTATCCTCCCTAAACACGCAAGGCACGTACATAGTCCGGGAGGGCGATCCGGTGGCGGAGATGCTCTTCATCATCCGCGGAACACTAGAGAGCTCCACCACCAACGGCGGCAGAACGGGCTTCTTCAACTCCACCACCCTCCGCCCCGCCGACTTTTGCGGGGAGGAGCTCCTTGCATGGGCCCTACTCCCCAACTCAACCCTAAACCTACCCTCCTCCACCCGGACCGTGCGGGCCCTCACGGAAGTCGAAGCATTCGCACTTAGGGCGGAGGATCTCAAATTTGTGGCCAACCAATTCCGGAGGCTACATAGCAAGAAACTGCAGCACACTTTCCGGTACTACTCCCACCATTGGAGGACTTGGGCCGCCTGCTTCGTGCAGGCGGCGTGGCGGCGGTTCAAGAAGAGGAAGTTGGCCAAGAGTTTGAGCTTGCAGGAGTCGTTTTCCGACGAGCAACTTTGGGAGGAAAAGGACGAATTGGAACGAGAAGAACTCGAGGGAGAGAATCTTAGCTCTTCTACTACTTCGACTTTGCATGTGAAGCAGAATTTGGGAGTTACTATATTGGCGTCGAGATTCGCTGCGAATACGAGACGAGGAGTTCAGCAAAAGGCGAAAGATGTTGTGGATTTGCCTAAGTTTCAGAAACCGGAGGAGCCCGATTTCTCGGTTTATCATGATGAAGACTAATTTTGTGTTTGGTGTGGGCCCGGATTCAAAAACGGGCCGGGCCGAAGTATACTGTACCTAAAAGGTTTATTTATTAGTGTTGTAGAAGCTTTGTACAGAATTCTATTCTTTTTTTTACTTTTTGTATGTTTTATATGCAGCTGGTTTTTATTTATTGATGTAACTGTCTTGTGTAAGAGAATTTCCGAATCTCGCCGATGGCAATCCGGATATTTCCGATTTTTAACAATATTTTTTATTACGGTTTCGAAGGTTTCTGATTCCAGAATAATTTGTCCTTTCATTTCAATTTCCGATTATTCCGATTTTGTATGCAACGGAACTGGAATTAGTTTTTTTACTTCAAAATAAAATAAAATAAAAAGTGCTAATTCAGATCTGATTCGTCCGATTTTCACCCCTAACCCTACCGAAAATATTTTCATAATGGCCTCCAAGCACCAAATTATATTATTTCTCCAGTAAATAAACAAACATCTGCTGAGAGATTCACCAAAAATAACAAATAAAAAAGTTACAACACAAGCATCTCAAAAAATCTTTCATGTAAAAAAAAAATCGGGTGCGAATGCGAGAAATTCCACAAAGAGCAACCAATGTAAAAATTTATATAAGCTATAAGCCACATTTTCTTGATCGAACGAAGAAGAATATTCTCTCACTTACGATGCGTTTCCACATCAGTCATCAGCTTCGGTAATTTATTTCTCTTCTGCTGATATTTAGCCAACGAATACCAAACCCCACCAGCGGTGTTTATCACTAGTCCCGTCACATTCAAAGCTCGTACTTGCACGCCTCCCAATAAGACGAACCCAAGTGTCTGTCCAAGAAGTAAACCCGTTTAGTAAATAATAAGGATTTCAAGAAAAAAAATGTAAACTTCGAAAAAAATATTTAATTTACGTACTGTGGAACCGACTCCTTTGAGAACACCGACTATCGTAGTGGTCAAAGCAGAGTTGACAATCGTGCACAAGAACATGGTGTAGTTGAGAACTATGCCCATCACTAAGGAAAGAAGAAGAAGAACCAGAAACG